ATCCTCCTATGTAACATCTCAGATGGGCTCACACTTACTCCATTCTAGGGCATGTTACAAACCCTCATGAGTACTATTGGCAGCAATTGAAGCCAGGACTCAGATGTCTCTTAGCAAAGTTTTGCCAAAACTGGCTTTAGGGTCTGGCTCTTTTTACCTATCTAGAAGATTAAGGATCATTTCTCATGTAGGACTTTTATGGTTTGTCACTATGTACCTTGAGGAAGGACCAGAATGGCTCCCCAGGAACTGGGAATAAGGCTGGGTTCTGAGGGGCTACACAGCTGCCTTTCTTGCTTCCCCGTCAGCCTCTTGATTTCCCATGGCGATGTTACACATGTGTCCTTGGTCCCTTTACTGTTCATGTTAGCAAAGTGTGCCATCCTGCAGTTGTAGCACTGAGCTTCCATGGTCTGGGTTCGCGGGTTTGAAGTGAGCAGGAGACAGGATCCGGTCATCACCTGTGGCTAATCATCCAGAGAAAGTGCTCGAGGGACCTCAGGGACCCTGCTGACACAGAGCAGTCGCTGCTGAAACTAATAACAGTGGGCATGGCATATTATTTTAAAAAATAAAAGTGAAGCAAGAGGGAGAAACTGGCTCTGCAGAGTGAGCTTGGGTCAAGTAAAAGTGGAAAAAGCAAGATAAAAGTCCACTCTGGAGGAAGTGGGTGAGAACTTCTACATCCGGGTCCTGACAGGCGGTGCTGGGATCTCAGCCTCAGGTTGACGTCAGGTCTAGGATATCCTACTGGAAACCTGCTGGAGTGCTCAGGAGAAGTCCTTGTGCGGGACTTTGAGAGCATGTGTTGGGGACCTTGTAGTCAACAGGTCACACCTACTTCCCCAGCCAGCTTTCCCCTGCACTAATCTCCTGTCTCAACTCCCACTGAGAGACACACATCCCCATAATTCTTTATGGGGTACTGAAGGAATAGAGGTCTCTGTCTTCTATAGCTTCTTCAAGCTGGAAGGGGCTGTAGGCCCTCCCTAGTGGGGATTATGTGCTCTCCAACTACCTTGGGGTGCTGTGGCTCACTGGCTGGGCTGAAGAAAGAAAAACCTGCCAGAAAATAAGAGTTAGTAATCATTGAACTGCTTGTTTGATGGGAGAAAGGGACTTCACGATTAGTCTAAATATGAGAAGCAGGTCAGATTTCCACACTTCCTGTAGCAGCACTGGAGTCTTGCTTTTTGAAGAGAAATCTCCAGTCTTCCTGAGGCTCGTAGGGAGTAGCTTTCTCCGTTTGGATAATTTTGTTCTTTGGACTGTTGAGGTGGGACTGACTTTAGTCCAGAAGATGAACCCAATTATCTGTCCCTGCCACCTTGACTGCAGTGGGTGTGGCAAGGATCACTGAGAAGGGGCCCTTCCATTTGGCTTTACCTGTTCCCTCTCTCCAAGTTTTTATGAGCACTTGGTCTCCAAGACAGACAGGTAGTAGCCTTCCTGGGCCAGGAGCTGGCAGGACTCTGTTCCCACACATTCAGACAGTCTGTTGTACTTGGCCCAGGTTAATGAGATATTGTAAGAGCCTTGTGGTCTCTAGGTCTATTATCCTCCTATGTAACATCTCAGATGGGCTCACACTTACTCCATTCTAGGGCATGTTACAAACCCTCATGAGTACTATTGGCAGCAATTGAAGCCAGGACTCAGATGTCTCTTAGCAAAGTTTTGCCAAAACTGGCTTTAGGGTCTGGCTCTTTTTACCTATCTAGAAGATTAAGGATCATTTCTCATGTAGGACTTTTATGGTTTGTCACTATGTACCTTGAGGAAGGACCAGAATGGCTCCCCAGGAACTGGGAATAAGGCTGGGTTCTGAGGGGCTACACAGCTGCCTTTCTTGCTTCCCCGTCAGCCTCTTGATTTCCCATGGCGATGTTACACATGTGTCCTTGGTCCCTTTACTGTTCATGTTAGCAAAGTGTGCCATCCTGCAGTTGTAGCACTGAGCTTCCATGGTCTGGGTTCGCGGGTTTGAAGTGAGCAGGAGACAGGATCCGGTCATCACCTGTGGCTAATCATCCAGAGAAAGTGCTCGAGGGACCTCAGGGACCCTGCTGACACAGAGCAGTCGCTGCTGAAACTAATAACAGTGGGCATGGCATAGCTCGGCTTGCTCAGTGACACTGACAAATTTACTGAGCACCAAACCTGGGAAAAACAGTAGGGAGTACACAGAAATGAGGGAACCATGCCATTAACAGATTATCATAAATTAAGGCACAATATAGTCATAAAATAAAATAATAAAGTTTTAAAATACACATGCTCTACCATCAGCCTATTTGGATATTGTAAAGTAGTTAGAATTTAGAAGTACAAGTTGAAAAATAAAAAATATTTTGGTCAGAGGAACCAGCAGGACAAAATAGCTTTGAGAAAGGGATAAAAATTTCCAAGAGCCAAACACTATTACTGGAAGAAAAACAGCCTCTTTAATAAATGGTGCTGGCAAAACTGCCTTTCCACATGCCAGAGATTGAAACTAGACCCGTATCTTTCACTATGCACTAAACTCAAATCAAAATGGATCAAAGATCTAAATAGTAATATGAAAACACTAAATCTGCTGAAAGAATAGGAAATATTCCAAAGAATCAACAACTGGGACTTCATCTTATTAAAAAGCTTTTGCATAGCAAGAGAAACCACCAAAAAGGTGAAGAGAAAACCCACAGTGTGAAAAACATTTTTTTTTCAGCTATTCCTCAGACAAGGGACTAACGTCTAGAATATCTAAAGAACTCAAAAAATAAGACCCTCCCAAATTTAAAGACCCAATGCAAAAATGGGCATCTGAAATAAAAAAAAATACTTCTCAGATGAAGTAGAAACTGCAAATAAGCGCATGAAAAAGGGTTCAACATCACTGGTCATTCAAGAGATGCCAACTGAAACCATGCTGAGACTGCACCTCAGTCCAGAAAGAATGGCTGCTGTCAAGAGATCAACCAATAAGAAATGCTGGAGGGGCTGTGGGGGAAGAGGAGCCCTTCTTCACTGTCGGTGGGAGTGTGGAAATCAGTGTGGAGATTCCTCAAAAAACTAAAAGTAGAGGTTCTGTCTGGCCCAGGTGTTCCCCTTCTTGGTATCTTCTGGAAGAATTAAAAGCATCACACCACCACGATATATGCACACCTATGTTTATAGCAGCACAGCTTGCAATAGCTAACTCTTGGAAACAGCCCAAATGCTTATCAGCTGATGAATGGATGAAGGCGATGTGAGGTTCTTTGTACAATGGAGTACGACTCTGCCATAGGGACGGATGGGCTTGAAAGTGGATGCCCCTCGAGACCGTCCTCTTCCACGGAATAAATCGGACACACAGGCTGACATACTGCATCGTTTCTCTGGTGTGAGAAACTGAAAGAGGAAAGGTAGACATTTTAATGTCTAGGAGATATTGGGAAGTGGGAGGAAAATGTTCGAAAGGGAACGGGAACAAGGGCGGGGGAGGGATGGAGGAAGGGAGGGATAAGAAAAAGAAGTAAGAATGGAAGGAACAATGGAAGCAGCTTCTGCACGTGAGGAGAAGGAAATGAGAAGAAGCAAGCAGGATGTGTCACGTACAGGTGCAAATTCCCTGCGGTGCGTGCTGTCGTGTTGACCTAAGATGTGCCACTAAGTGTATTGCTGGGAAAGAAAAGAATGTTCAAGCATGTTTTTCTCCAGATGTTATAAAAGCGCCTCACCCCTGAGTGTTCTCCAAGTCGACATTTTGTGAAGGGATACCCAGGCCTGAAAAATCTATCTAGGGATTTCTAGCTTTTTTCTTCAGCTTTCTAATGGATCTAAGTTATTTTTATTTAGTTGCTTATATAATTGTTTTTATTTGATATTACTTTTTATGGTAAGGATGGAATATTATAGAATATATGTTTTACTTATTACCTTCGGTATAATCCAATAATCATCAATGAAATTTCACCTATTTTCTCCTTATTCATGCTTTTCAAATTTCCCATATGGAAAGATCATTCATTTTTATAACATGTGATAGAAACCTTGTGGCAATGTCAAATGGCTATAAAAGTTGTCCAATCTGTGCTTCTAGTTACTGTACGATTAGTTTTCAGACCAGGGTTACAGCATGAGGCGCAAGGACCAGAGTTAAGCTGAGTGCGGACGGATACAGAAGAGATCCAGTAATAGCAGGAGATCTTTAAAGGCAGCGGGCATTTCTAAGTGAAGCAGTGCGAGGTGGGCGGAACCGTGAGAAGGGGAAACGGAAACAGCGCGTCCCAGGCGGGGGAACTCGGGAGGGCTGGTCTGGGTGCCGGCAGGGAGTTCGCGAGTTCGCAACCCAGGACAGGCGCTAAGTGCCATCCGCATCCAGACAAACTGGCCTGGCCCCCAGGACTGCACTTCGGTTCCACTGCTCGGGAACGAATGTGTTTTCCGGAAGACGTGGCCGCCCCTCCGGTTCTGCACTCAGCGTAGAAGCCCAGACCAAAGCTCGCCGAGCTTCTCTCCAGCTGTACTCGCTCGGGCGCGTCTTAGACGTCAAGAGCTCGGCCCACAAAATAGAAAAAGCCATTGCAATACAGTGTGCTCCGACAAATAGGAGGCAGGCAGGCTGCTGGACTGCCCTGTGAATTTCTCCTGGACTCCGGAATCCGAGGTGGCGGCAGACGCCAAGCGACCCCCGCAGCATCGCCCGCCTCCCGGT